AGGCACTATGCTACAAGCTGGAATGTCATGGGTTCGATTGCCGATGAGGTCACTGAGTTTTTCAATTGATCTAATTCTTCCGGCTGCATTATGGCCCGGGGGTTAACTTAGCTTCAATAGAAATAAGTACCAGGAATCTTCCTGGGTGTAAAGGGCGACTGGCACATAAGGCTGACCTCCAACTAGTGCTGATGTCAAGCAAATGTGGATCTATACATCCCAATTATTTCATTTAATCATTTAAAGCACAGTGGTCACTGCATCTACCACCTGCTTTAACATTAACAGCGCTCTGTATTTTTCCCACAGAGTATATTTATGTGTATTATATGATTCTAACAATGAACAGAAATTATGAGGAATGTACTGAAAGTCATAAGCAACAATTTTTTGTAAAGTAACATGCTTTATTATTGGCAAAAACCAAATATACCACCTCAATCTAGAGACCTTTCTTTATTTTTCCACATAATTGCCACTTCTTGGTACACATTTCTCCCAGCATTCTGGGAGTTTGAAAATTCCATTCCAGCCACCCAAAGACACCGACGCACTGCTTTCTGAATTGCCTCCCCTGTCTCAAAACGTTGTCCACGCAGTTGATCCTTCACAAATCCAAAAAGATGGCAGTTGGAGGGTGCCATATCAGGGCTATAGGAGGGGTGTGGAAGAACTTCCCACCCCATCTTTGCAATTGCTTCCAATGTGAGGCGAGCGGCGTGGAGGCGAGCGTTGTCATGCAGGATGATGATGTTTCGTCCCGGACGTTTATCACGCAATACATGACGGAGCTTGTGCAGCATCTGGACATAATGAGCAGCATCGATGGTTTGCCCAGGTTCCAGGAATTTGACCAGAATAAACCCTTCTGCATCCCAGAAGACTGTGCCCATCACCTTCGCAGCCGATGGAATTGTCTTTGCCTTCTTTTTTGATGGAGAATGCAAATGGTGCCATTCCATACTCTGCCGTTTTGTTTCAGGCTCGAAATGGTGAAACCAGCTTTTGTCACCTGTCACAATATAGAGCAAAAAATCATCGCCTTCGTGTCGATATCTCTGCAGCAGTTCTGAGGTGATGGCTTTTCGCTGACCTTTGTGGTCTTCTGTCAATAACCGCAGGACCCAAGGAGCACAAAC